GGGGGATGCGGAGGAGATGGATGTTGTTGGTGTTCATCGGAAGCCTGGTGCTGCTGAGTTGGAGTACAATATTGCTCCTCATCACCCGCATCCCGTGCAGCCGTTTGTGCCGTTGGATCTTATTTTGAGACATATGACTACTGGGCGCATGCCGTAGTCTTGCGATCTCTAGAGACTGGATAGTCTTGACTCAGGACATGTGGCCTGCGTTTACGATTCTACTTGGTCCACGGTTTTTCCCATGAATACAACTTCTCGTAGCTCGTTTCTACAATTGCATGGTTCCAAAACGGACGGCATTATTACTATTTTAACCAAACCCGGAAAAAGCGAAGGGAAGCAATCGCTGAGCTATCTAACCCCGGCGGCGCGTGGTGGGTGTCTTCACGCTAGGTCTGGGAGACGCTCCCGTGCTCTGAGCTGATGGTGCCTTCTCAACTGCCTTTGGGCGAGGGGCGGCGGCCTTCTGCTTGGGCGCCGGGGCGTTCCAGTACCAGAGCATCTGGATCGCGAGGATCACATTGAGGGAGAAGCCGCCAATGAATCCGTAGAGGATAAACTGGTCATCAACTTCCTGGAGGGTCGTGAAGATTCGGGACAGGGATCCGATGAGATAGTTGAACACCTAATTAAAAGAAGAAAAAAACAATTAGTATTTGAACTGGGATCACGTTAGAAGGTAAAGAAAATCATACCGTGAATGCACTAAGCTGTCCGGTTCCTCCCTCGCGCCAGATAGTGTAGATTTGAGGCGCCTTGCTAGCAACACCCAAAGCACCTGCACCAGCCTGAAGGTAGGCCATGGTCTGCGCATCCACAAGGGTCTGGTCGAACAACAGCGCATAAACACTGGCAGCTACGACAGCGATGAAAGCCGCCGCAGCGGCGGAGCGTCCGGCATAGTTCAGGACCAGGACACCGATAGCGATATCCTGGACGGCGATGAGAGCGGTCTCACCATAGGTGCTGAATGGGAACTGGTTGCGCACGCTGTACGAGAGAGTGATGAGCAAGCTAGCGGTTTCGAGGGCGTAAGAGACGAATGAGACACCGGCAGAGGAGCGGGAGTTAATCAGCTTCAGAATCTGCGGAATTTTGACGACTGCACTGGCACCGACGATGGCAATGCCAAGGGCCTTGGAGATGGCGAGTGATGTGCAAGCAGGGTCCTTAGTGACATCGAGATCGACCAACAGTGCGCCGTGGCAAGACTTTCCAATCAAGGACACAACGGCATCATGTACTGGCTCGGGGATAGCCGAGACAATAGGCGCCAAATATGGCTGAAGAGGTGTAATCACTGTGTTCTGAATGGTATCCATAATGAATGCAAATGATCAGAAAAAGAGAGAGCAGTGTTGGATTAGGCAATGTCACGAAGAACAATTTGTTGACATTCCAAAGTGAACGGATGTGGCCCGTGCACCACCGGGGAAATTCAACTTCGCTCGTCCACTTTTCTTCCTTCTGCATGACCGACCCGCCATGATCCCTCTGCGGCCATCCATTCTACGGAGGCCTCGAGAGGCGCTTGTGTGCTCACAATGTCTCTTTGGGCCTCGTTATGTGCGCCCCGAGGGCATTCGGGGGTTCCTATCATCCTCGAAACGGCGGACCGGGACTGCGGATGACCAGTCCCCTTCAGTATTCCACAAATCATATTTCTCGGCCAATCGATTCTACGACGGGTCAAACAATAAAGGTGGCTTGCTGTCTTCACTTGCGTCCTCCAATACGAAAAGCAAATCAACCGCTTCATCTCCCAGCGATCAGGACGTCAGTCAAGTCAATTCGACTGCAACAGCATCGTCCGCCGCGATTGCGACAGAAGCAACACCAGAGGAACTGCCACATCGTCGACGGAAGCGCTTGAAGGAGGAAATCAATTCAACCGGACAACCAGAACCCAGCCTCCCGCTTGATGCCTCGGCGCAATTGTCGAACTTCTCATCCACACTCCCCACTACCTCCCTCCGCCGCAGGTTGGCTGCATATTTCGCCCTGACGAAACCGCGACTGTCCTTCTTGGTCGTACTCACCACCACCACTGCATACGGGATGTATCCAATTTCGTCCCTGCTCACCCTCGACCCGGCCATGACCCCACTCCCCACACTTTCGACCTCGACCCTGACCTTTATATACCTGACGGTGGGCACCTTCCTGTCTTGCTGCAGCGCCAATACACTGAACATGATGTTCGAACCGAAATTCGACGCACTTATGTCCCGGACGCGTAATCGTCCTATTGTGCGCGGACTTGTCTCGCGTCGGGGAGCTCTGCTCTTCGCGATTGGCACCGCCATCACGGGCCTCTCGCTCCTTTATGTCGGGACCAACCCGACAACTACCGCTCTATCCGCTACCAATATCTTCCTATATGCTTTTGTATACACACCATTGAAGCGAGTCCACGTAATCAATACCTGGGTTGGCGCGGTGGTGGGTGGTATCCCACCGCTCATGGGATGGATCGCTGCAGCAGGCCAGACAGCGACAATTGGTCATGACACATGGCGCGACATGCTCTTCAGCGAAGAGAGCATTGGAGGATGGCTACTCGGTGCAATCTTATTCGCCTGGCAATTCCCCCACTTCAACGCCTTGTCCCACCTGATCCGGGATGAGTACAAAGCAGCCGGCTACAGGATGCTGTGCTGGGTGAACCCAGCTCGCAATGCCCGGGTTGCTCTGCGCTACTCTATTATGATGTTCCCCATCTCCATTGGTCTCTGGTGGGTCAATGTGGTCGGACATGGTTTCCTTGTCGGTAGCACTTTCGCCAATGGCTGGCTAGTCCGCGAGGCATACCGTTTCTATCAACACCAGGGTGCGAATGGCACTGCACGTGGCCTCTTCTGGGCCAGTATCTGGCAACTGCCTATTCTCCTAGTCGGCGGCCTAGTGACTAAGAAGGGTCTCTGGGATGGCGTTTGGAGGAATATATTCGGGCAAGCCGATGAAGAGGATGAGGAGTATCTCTACTACGAGGGCGAAGAAGAGTTGGAAGGCGAGAAGGCTAAACTCCAAGATGCTGCATCATCCCGTGCTCCATCAACCCGGACAAGTACTTTGTCCACTGCATGAGCTTTGAACTACAAGTCCCTCGTGCTGGATACCTTCCAGTTTCTTTCTTCTCACTGAGTTACCTCACCTTGTTCATTCGAACCACCTTTTTCTTCTGGGATTTTGTCTTATACAGCGGTTTGGAGTGGCGTTTCTTTTTTTTGTTTGTATAACACCCGTCTCCTATATGTAGCTGCATGTACCAGATTTAGGCCGCGGTCGCGCCTATCAACTTCAATTTTCTGCCGTCTCACTCTCCTGGATTGGATGTGACGACTTCCAATACGGTTGCTGATCCAGTTTTGATAGAGGCATGTCCATTGAAAATCCAGAGACGTAGCTGTCAAAGAATATGGTGAGTGGCAACGACACCCTCGAAACTGGATTTGGTAGAGGGGATATTGGGCAGTGGGTTAACAATTTGGCTTTGGGATATCGAAGCTTCAGAGATATCATTGTTTTTATATATATTCTATACGTGAAGTTCGAAGGCCCTGCTCAACTTCTGAAATATATTTCCGTATTGATTGCTTCCTCTCCAGAATACACCACTTCTAGACTATTATCTGCCATGCTTTCTCTATAGCCTAATCAAAAAACTAGTTTGATGACCGTATAAGGCTATATAATATGACCAAAACTCTCCTAGTCTTTTACAGCCTGACCTGTAACTCAAGCATTTCCATTCGCCCACACAGTGACACCATAGAATCTCCTTAGGGTACGTAATTGTTCGGGCTTTGGCTGAGAGATTAGTTCTCTATTCTTTTGCTGTTGTCTCTTCTCTATTTCTTTCCGGACATGATATTCCAAGGTGGCCAAAAATACTTCTAAAAGCAAATAGTTAGATGCCAGCCGCGTACTTCTCGCCTCAGTTTTGCTACAAAAGCCTGTCTAGAATTTGTATAATCCTCTTTGACTACATGTACGGAATGACCACTCTTCTCTTTGAAACACGTATCTAGGGAGTGAACTTTCCCTGAATGGCCCCTCCCTTAACCATAAGCCACCAAGCCAACGGCCGCCGAAGCCGATGAGCCGACGACCGCCCATGCGATCTTGATAAACTGAGACTTACTATTCAGCGTGTATCCAGTGGAGGAGACAAGATACCGGATGCCATTAAAGAGATGGAAGGTGAAGGGCCAGGCGACGAAGAACTTGAGGGCGACATTGGCGGCCACCGGTAAAGAGCCAAAGGCCGCGACGAGGGCGGCCGAGGACAGATCCCAACCGAGCCAGGGAGCCACCAGGTAGGAGGTGCCGAAGAGATACAGGCCGCCGGCGAGGAGAAGTCCCGTGTTTCGCTCCATGGCGGAGCTGACCGAGTGAACCTGCCATTTATAGATGGACAGATGAGGCGCCACAGGCCGCCGTAGGCGTTGGTTAGCGAGTCCTTCTTGGGCGGATTCCGCCGTGATCACCCTCAGTGGTGTCGTAATGGGGTTCGTAGTCTGCATCCTGGAGGGAAAGTCGCATCGGTCAATACATATCTCCCAACAATAACAACATGTTATTCTAAATCTTGTGTATGGCATACCGAACTTGTTGTTGCCACGCCAGACCCATGACCGGCGTAATAGGCGGGGATGCTACTGTGGCACGGCGTCGATTGAACATGGACGACGCTGCGGGCTGCTTGTCAGCTGACATCGAACGTAACGAAAAGAACGGATACAACAGAAGACTCACCCTTCTGCGTTAACATCATATTCTTTTGGGTGGAGCCCGCCATGGTGGATGGGATGTGGATTCCTCACGAGGAACAGAGAGAGACAGAGAAAGTTGGGAAAGGAGAGAATGGAAAGGAAAAAAAGGACAGAGAAAGAGCATTGCAGGGGCAGACAGCCTAGCGTTGTTTGACCCTCGCTGGCATGAATTGTCCGGTCTTGTCGGTCTTGTCGGTCTTGTAGCGGTCCGGCCGAGACCTTGCATTACGGGTGCGTAGGTATTAGGTAGTTAGGTAGTTTGTGTGTTCCTCGGTGTGATAGCGCAGGGTTAACCCAAGCAACTTCGCCTTTGTGCACGGCGTCCAAGCCGCCAATGACGCCCTTGAATCCTGGGTGGCTCGACTCGATGCTGATGGGCAAGGGAAACGGCTCCAGGCTCAGATACTGGTCCCCATCGCGGCCGTTGCCTTGTAGCAGATACTCATCGAGGGGAGATCGATGATGCAACCGAGCGCGAAGCTCGGCGTGTCGGCGTGTGTGGTTAAATTCCCGGATATCGTGGCCGCAGGTCGGCGAAGCATAGTCAAAGCCGGCCGGGGCGCGGCGATGTACTGCGCAAACGCTCCGTTCTGCGGTCGGTCTGGGTTATTGCCGAAGGCACACAGACTCGCTCGCCAACCTGGACAGACTGCATTCTTAGATTATAGTGATTGTCAAAGGTTGTAAACCGCTACGCTTCTTGTCGTCAAGCTTCCCCGCAGTGTTGCACGTTGGTCTGGAACACCGGACGCTTCTACGGTTAGACAATACATGTACTCATTGAAACAGAACTCCCGATTGGTGAATGTATTGATATTAGTTCTCCTACATTATCCCACATATTACTCGAACCCATCCACTCCACATCATCACCACCACAGACAACCACAGACAACCACAGACATTAACCTACGAAGAAGTAGAACCACCAGCAGCTTCAATCAAAAACTTCGCAGCCGCCTCAGCGTCAGTGCCGTAAGTAAGGTGCGCCATGCCATTTGCACCGTTGAGGCAGACAGGGTCACCAAGGTGACAGAACTCCTTGACCTTACCATCGGCAACCTTACCGACACTCTGAGTCTTGAGTGGGTCACCGAAAAGAACGGCAGCGGTAATCTGGTCGGCAGTGAGGCTGTTGGCAGCATTGTGGACGACCATGGCACCCTGGGAGTATCCGCCCAACAAGACCTTGGTCTTAGGGCACTGGCTAAGAGCCTGCTTGACGAGCTTAGCCATGGTGGGACCGCCAGATGCGCCCATCATTGCGTTGCCCTGTTCGAATGGAGTGTTAGTTGACAGATCTGGTTTGATGATCTTGACAGGAGTACACAAAGCAACGCCAAGTCAAATACTGAAGATAAGGAAAGGAAGGGGTTCTCATACCGCTGCGTCCGCGGGATAATCCACGCCCTGGACGGTGACCTTGTCGCTAGTCAGGGAGTTCAACTGCTTGGCAAGAGGGGGTCCAATGACCGTGCCCATGTTACCCGTCTCGGTAGTTCCGCGCGCAAAGATGAATGTGTACTCCTTGCAGCCGGAATTCTGGGTCACGCCATTTTCGGTGGAAGAGCCCGAGCCTAGAAGTTAACTGTTAGCATTGCGTTCTCAGATGTAGTAGCTTGGTAAGGGGGATATTACCCAAACCGGGGATACTGAGTCCACTGAGTCCACTGCCTAACGAGGTGTCTGAGCTAGAGGCATCGGAGCTGCTGCTAGACCCCGAAGCTCCTGGGATGAGAGACTTCCAGGCATCCAGGCCACTGCTGGTCCCAGTGCTGGAACCGAGACCGGACAGCTGGCGGTTCTCGATGGTGCGGGTGGGAGCTGCAATGGCAATGCTAGCCAAGGCGAGGATGGTCGTAGACTTCATGTTGAAACGAGGGAATTATATTTGTCAAAGAATGGATTTGAGAGACCAGCTCTGCAGTGTAAAATAGTGTATGAATGTGGGATTAGAGTGAATGAATGGGGATACAACCCACTCGAGAGGAATGATTCATTCTTATATACTTGTATTTGTTGACTTGTTCGGTACTTGGATTCGGGTTAACCTCGGAAGGATAGTATATTGGGGAACGTCTGAAACTAAAAATTTAGTGAAACGAGATCCTGTTTCATCCTTGGACCCCCCTGTTGTGGGGGATATACTAATTTTTTTAGTCCCGATCGTTGGAGAACACACGGAGTAGCCCTACCAGAGATCTTGAATGGATCCCGGGCTCTCCCGGGTTTCTGTATTCGGATCTGAACGTGAAGATCAGTTAGAAAGGTCAAATTGTCTCTTAACATAGGTATACATAGGTATTCTAGTTCATACAATCATTTCTAAATCGTCTTCAGCTGATGTATCTATTTTCGTATATCCATGTAATATATCTGAAGATATGACAGATCTACCACAAAAGTCATGAGACACAGGGATTTTGGGGTTTGAGTTAAATGAAGCCGACCAAACCTTCCAAGGACCCAGGATTGGGGATGTTCTCAAAAATGGGTCTATCAGTACTCAATCGGGCAATTTAGCCGTTGAACTCCAAATCGGCCGAGACCAGCCCTAAAAAAAGGTCCAGAAGTGTGGAGAATAGTCCTCGCAGGAATCGTACCAGGGCGTTCCTGAACTCTCAGTGGGAACCGGGCGATGCTCAGGGGTGTGGCTCTGGCATGTCTCAGGTATCGTAGTCCACTAAGAAGTTAGACCCCTGATATGACTGGACAAAGTACGGTGTATGTTGCACGTGGTTTGGTCTAGTCGATGCTGCGAAGAGAATTGTAGGGTTTTCCTAGACAAATGCTAATGAAAACCGGGTACGGAGTATAGTCCATCGATATAGTACAAAATGTATAGTCCACAAGGACAAAGTGATATACAATCGCTAGTGGCGCTAGCCAATATCTACGTCCTCAACTGTAGATGGTACGTCTTCAATGCCTCCTCGGTCATGGGGCTCGGGGCACCAACCATGGCATCATCGCCCCCCTTACCAGTTTTCGGGAAAGCGATCACATCACGTACGGATTCCTTACCGAGCATAACAGCGACAAGTCTGTCAAAGCCCAGCGCAAGACCCGCATGCGGCGGACAGCCAGAGCGGAGGGCATCGAGCAGATGCGAGAAGTCGGTCAACCGCTCAGCTGGCATTTTCAGAATATCACGGAAGATGAATTCTTGCACTGCTGCGTCGTGGATACGACGACTACCACCGCCAAGCTCGACGCCGTTCACGACGAGGTCGTAGTGGTCAGCTACCGCCTTGGTGGGGTCTGTGAGGAGGAGATCGACATCGGTGGGGGTCTTGGGTGCGGTAAAGGGGTGGTGTGTGGAGGAGAAGCCTGCGGCGCCGCCCTGACCTGGCTCTGAGTCTACGGAGGGAGAGAAGAGGGGGAAGTCGACGACCCAGAGGAAGTCGAATCCGGTCGCGGCGGGCTTGAAACCTGCTGAGACCGAGGCTGCGTGTAGTGCACGGCGTAGATCGCCAACGGGGGTTGAACCCCCGGAGAAAGGAGCACGGGGGCGTGCCTGCAGAACGATCAGGTCACCGTGGTCAGGGTCTAGTAGTTCCTCGACTTGCTCGGCGGCTTCGAAGCCGAAGGGCTGTAGTCCGCAAAGCGGCTGCTTGCCATTGTAGATGAAAACGCCTGGGCCGCCGTCTGGGTTATTGTTGAACGGCGCACCTGCCGGGGAGTCGAGGAACTCGGTGATGAACTTGTGGGTCTCAGCGGGATCGTTGTTATTTCCTTCAAGCTTGAAAGCCTCCACGATGGGATTAGTAAGGCCAGAAATCTTGCCGACTAGATCCACGGGGAGAACATGATCAAGTCGAATGATTTCCATTCCGTATCTCGTGTCCGGCTTGTCAGATCCATATTTGGCCATGACTTCCTGGTAGGGGACTTTGCGGAATGGGCCCTCCGGGGCAGGATCCTTCATCAATGATGACCAAAGTTGGCGAATGACCCCTTCCACGGTGCGCATGACGTCGTCGCCTGTCGCGAAAGACATCTCCATATCAAGCTGTAGATATCCAATTAGCTTATATCACCATCACCCAACCAAACAATAGAAGTCCATACCTGAGTAAACTCGGGCTGACGATCCGCACGCAAATCTTCATCCCGGAAGCAGCGCGCAAACTGATAATACCTTGGCAAACCACTAGCCATGAGAATCTGCTTATACTGCTGCGGGCTCTGCGGCAACGCATAAGCCAGCCCTTCCCTCCGTGTAGGCACAATGAACTCCCGTGCGCCTTCCGGGGTAGACTTGAACAGCAGCGGAGTCTCAATCTCTACGAACGGCGGACGACACTGCTCCAGCTCTTTTTTGCAAATATTGTGAGCGCGGGCACGGAAGCGCAGTGCTTCACGCAGCTCCGCATCCGAGCGCAGCTGGAGGTAACGTTGCTCAGGTGGGAAGACCGTTTCAGGTGTCATGATTAAGTCCTTGGGGAAGTCGTTGAGCGGGTGAATTTCTTCCAATGCGAGCTCCCATTGGTCTTGGGCTGGTGTATTCTCCCCCTCTGATGGCTTGGTCTTTTTCTTTTGAACTGTCCCGCGCACAGCCACGGGGCTGTTTGCGTTCACGGTCTTTAGCTGCTCGAAGGCATCGTTCTTGGCGAATGCTACAACTTGTAGGCTGTGTTGTAGGGTGGGATCGGATAGGCGCACGAAGGAAAGTTTCTTGGACAGATCTGCGCGGTTTCCAAGGTATCCATGTAGCACTACTTCTGTGTTTGGCTCAGCCTGTGTGAAGAACGTTTCGAAGTCGTGGGTGGCAGGTGGGAAGTCCACTGTAGAGCATCATGTGTTAGCCACAGCCATCTCAAACTATGGGAAAGTCAAGCTTTTCCGCAGAGTCTATCCACATACCAGCCCGCTTGTACGCTTCCAGAAAAGCAGGAAGCTGTTTAGGAGGCTCCCCCTGTCGCAAGCAAGCCCGAGCATGGAACTGCCGCGGAGTCTGAACGGGCATATAACATTGTCTCGGCGAAGCAACGGATCGACCGCGCAGAAGATTCGAGATTTCGATGTAGCTAGATCTCAACCGCAAAGAGCGGAGCTGCACGGCAGCAATTGGCATATTTCAATTGTCGCGAATGCAATTGCAGCCAAACCAGAAGAAAGCGAGTCATGCCCGGACAATCTGACCATTAGAACCGGCAGAAAACCACCCCGCCCTAGAAGCGGACTAGCGCCCGCAGAAATAAAAAGCGCGGGATTTTTCGCTCGGCTGCTTTTCTTTTCTTCTTCATCCTTCCAAGTTTTATACTTGTGAGTATTCTTGTTCCCTGGCCCCTTTCAAAGGGGAATTACCATTTTTGACCATTGTACTGACTGTTTCCCAGAATGATGAAAGCCTAGTGTGTTATATATGAGACAGTCTCTTCCCTCTGAGACGTGCGGCTCTCTCTCTTCGGAGGGCTTAAGGGCTGTACGAATCGAGGGCAGGGTATGTGATATATGCGTTCGGCATACCAACCTTGTTTACATGACGGACGCGATGAAGGCATCTCTGATCCTATTCACAAGACTTGAAGGTGTAACTGTTGGCTTTGGGCCATAGTTTAGGGGCTTCCCTCGAAGCTGGGATAGATGAATGTTGGACGGGTGTTGGCACCGATACCTTTGTGTCCAAGGTTCTCTCTTTCGGCTCTTATATTCGCATCTAGCTAGCTATACTTTGGCCTCAGGGACTTGTTCCTATGTCGGTCTCTTCTCGGCAGTAGGATTATAGAAGAGTCAATTTCATCACAGGCATAGTCGCCTGCGTCGCTGTCGGCTCTCTATAACCTCACTGATGAGAAGACACCGGACATGAGCAAATACCAGGGGCTTGATTAAAATATCAAATTTAGTACGCAGGACTTCCTCGCATGTATCTTCGTGTTTAACTATAGCTATCTCTAAAAGGGCCACCTGGATTCGTATGTTTATTTGAAAACAGCTCTTCATGCAAGTGAATTTCGAATCGCAACAATGAATTTTGATATGCATGCTGATTTTTCCCAGCTTCAAGTAATCTATATAGAACAAAAAATAACCAAAACAAAATATAGTCCCCTAATCGCGTATATCATCTTTTTGAACGCTTTTTCACGCAAAGATCATCTTCTCCAACACCTCCTTCTCTCCACTATTCTCAACAAGATTTTTGAAAACACCACCCTCAATCCCCATAAGATCCCTAGGTGTACCAAACTCAGCCGCCTTTCCAGCATCCATGACAAGAATACGATCGAAGTCCGCAATGGTGCTAAGCCGGTGCGCAATGACGAGCAGCGTGGTAGCATTTCGTCCGAATTCCGCACGGATAGACGTCTGAATCAACGCGTCGGTCTCCATATCAACAGCCGAGGTCGCCTCGTCTAGGACCATAATCTTGGGTCGCGAGACGATAGCACGGGCAAGACAGAGAAGCTGGCGCTGACCCTGGGAGAGGTTAAGGCCGCCTTCGGAGATAGTCGAGGACAGAGAGGTGAAAGCGTTAGAATTCGTCTTCTGTGCCGTCGGTGGTGTCGTGGCGCCCGTTTCACTGGGCTGGCGGGGCGTAGCAGTGCGCGATGTGAGGGTGAGCTCGTCGTCGTCGGCCTCGGAGATGAGGTGCACACGTGCTAGCGCATCGTATAGCTCTGTGTCGCTGTATTCGTCGAACGGGTCCAGATTCGATCGCACACTACCGGAGAATAGCACTGGGTCTTGCGGAATGATGGCAAGTCGGCTACGGAGGTCGTGTAGTTTGATCGTGGAGACGTCGATTCCGTCAATGAAGATTTGGCCAGAGCGTGCTTCCAGGAATCGGAAGAGTGCAAGTGTCAAAGAGGACTTGCCTGCTCCTGTGCGTCCAACCACACCCACGCGCTGGTTCTTCTCAAC